TGAGGACTCATCTGAATTCTAGGCTTATTAAAGTTGTGAACTACCTATTTCCTGTAACAGAGAATGCTTAATATTTGTGTGATATAGTAGAAACAGTGATAGCATCTTAGACTTGGAATTAGTGGTTATTATATTTTCTGCAAGATGTTTTGTGCGAACTTATACTTAGTGAATGTCTAAACAATTATTCTTAAATTAAGATTTTGTTTAGAGTTCAAAATGTTCCCATAATGTATTCTAAATATATATATATATATATATATATATATATATATATATATATATTCATGGCATGTAAAAAGAAGACAGGAGATGATATCTTAGAGCAAAAACTTAACAATAGTTGGTAAAACTACAGCTGACTTCTTTCCCCAGTAATGATTTATGTGGTGCTAGGGAAGGCATAAATGTAGGCAGAAGTCATGAGTTATTGCAAATCAAGAACTCTGCCAGTTACAGGAAGACACTGCTACTTACAGGACCTTATGTATCAGCTGCAGCTGGCATAGTTCTCCTGAGCATTTGTCACTCAAAGTTCTAAAAGACAGGAGCCATCATAAAGCTATGTTTTACTAACAAATGCCAATTTCCCTTCAAAAATTGATACAAATAAGGCTAAATAATTTTGTTTTTGTTATAAATTGTGCCATGGAATTTATCATATTTGATTCTTGATCCAAGTCTGTGTTTCTAGAGTCCACAACTGTTTTAAGTGCTTTGCCTTCATGTAAATGAATATGATCACATCCATACACACACACACACACACACACACACACACACACACACACACACACACAGAGAAGCATCCTTAAATGTGAGGTTTCAGAAACCAGATAAGGAAAATAAAATAAGAAAGTGGAGGGTGGATATTGGAAAGGGATAGTGATAGCGCCACAAGACAGAGGAGGTAGAGACATCAAGGTTGAGTTGGGTAAATAAATAAAAAGAATTCATGTAGGAGGAAAGTTGAGCAACTGTGAACTTTTATTATGTGTATTTTAACGATATAAATAAAGGTTGAAGGCTTTGGGTGAAGTGATCTTTTAGAATCACACTGCAGCATTTCTGAGGTCATTTGAAAGAAGTCAGAGAGGTAAAGGGAAATACTAAAGTTAGGCCAGAGCACACATGAAGGGTGAAATAGAAGTCCCAGGGGTGAAGCTTCACATTTCTTTTCTGGTACAGAATTTGTATGGGGAAGAGATTTGTCAGTTGCAAGAGAGGAAGTGACTAGAGAGTACCAAGAAGGAGTTGCTAAACTCAGAGATTAAAAGCAAGCTGTGGAGCTAGAACTTCTTTCTACAGTGAAATGCTGCTCCTGGAACTGGCATTTTTTGCAGTTCTCTTCCCAATTGGTGACACTCAGGAAGGTAAGTGGAACACTGGGTGCCCCCTGCAGTAGTGTAGGGTGTCTAGAAAAGACAGGCTACATTAACACAGGTGTAATTGGGGGTAACACTCTGACCTTTCCTGTCTCCAGGTCTCTTCCACCATTCTGGATATTGAGGCTGGAGTCTGAGGCTCTGAGGCTTTTAAATCATTCAGGCCTTCTGGGGTCTACAGACTCCAGGTGTTTGTTTCTTGCATCATTTTAATAACATGCTTTCTCTTTCCCCTTTGCTTCTCTTTCTCTTCACCATTTTATCTTTCTTTTCTCCACAGCCTTCCAAGAACCAATCTCTTTCCATATCATTCAAATCACATCTTTTGCCAACAATTCCTGGGTGAAATATCAAGGTTCAGGCTGGTTAGGAGATTTACAGATTCATGGCTGGGACAGTGATTCAGGCACTGCCACATTCCTGAAGCCCTGGTCTAAGGGCAACTTTAGTGATGAAGAAGTATCTGAAGTGGTGGAGCTATTTCGGGTGTATATCTTCGCATTCATTCGAGAAACAAAAGCCCATGTGAATGCCTTGCAGATGGAATGTGAGTCCAGACCTTATGCCTGGGGATTTTCTTAATGATTTGTCATGATTCAGATTACTATCTTTTTCATCCTTGTCCTCTCATCTTTGCTGAAGTGTTTGCACATGGCTGTCTAGAGCAGTCTCTCTGGTTTGCTGCCTCTGCACTCATTTCTGATTGATGAAGAATTCTACTTTGAGGCCTGTTTGTCTGCTATAAATTCATCCCTTACTTTCAAATCCATGGGACCCTCCTTTTCCCTTTGGAAAGCTGTTCTTGTGTCTCCCTCACACTTTCCTTATCCTGCACCTCCCCTATGTCATTGAAACATTGTATATTTTTCTATAGTTTCTCCATCCTGGCTTGAATGCCTCTATGTATACTTTTTTTTCTGTAACTGTAAGTCATGTAATTATTTAGTGTGGTGAACCACACATTCCTGATTTTATCTTTACTCACATCAAAATTCTAGGTCCATTCCACATCTTGCTCTTTTGTTTTCCTTGTACACAGACCCTTTTGAGATCCAGGGCATTGCAGGCTGTGAGCTGCATTCTGGAGGTGCCATTGTAAGCTTTTTGCAAGGAGCCTTTGGAGGACTGGACTTTGTGAGTTTCAAGAATTCTTCTTGTGTTCCTGCCCCAGAAGGTGGCAGCAGGGCACAGAAGGTATGCAAACTACTTGCTCCATATCATGATATCAGCTACACAGTGGAGAAGCTGCTGTATGAAACCTGTCCTCAATATCTCCTGGGTGTCCTTGAAGCAGGAAAGGCAGAACTACACAGGCAAGGTTAGTCCTTTTGTGTTATATTTCTGTCACTTTCTTCAAGCTCAAGTGTAGAAAGATGTGTAAGGTGAGTGGGGTCCTCAATATCTTATTTCATTCCCAAAGAATTAAAGGCTCACTGTCCAGACTTGTAGGTGTTTGGATTAACATGATTTGTGTTAGAATACTAATCTGATATTTTCCTGCTTTTTCTTGACATAGTAAAACCCAAGGCATGGTTGTCCAGTGATTCCACTCATGAGCCTGGCCATCTGCAGCTGGTGTGTCATGTCTCTGGATTCTACCCAAAGCCTGTGTGGGTGATGTGGATGCGGGGTGAGCAGGAGCTGCCTGAAACTCAGAGAGGTGACATCCTGCCCAATGCTGATGACACATGGTATCTCCAAGCGACCCTGGATGTGGTGACTGAGGAAGCCACTGGTCTGTCTTGCCGAGTGAAACACAGCAGTCTAGGAGGACAGGACATTGTCCTCTATTGGGGTGAGAAAGAAATAGGGTTAGAATGGAAATGGGGAGCCACAATGGTGAAGGAATTGGGATAAAGAAGGAGAAAACAGAGGAAATGAAAGGAAGGTGTTAGGGAAAATTTACTATTTAGCTAGAGAGAGCAAGACCTGGAATAATGTGGGATTTAAAGTAACATACTCTGTTCTCTCTTCCAATTGTCAGGACACTCCAATCCCATTGGCTGGATCATTTTGGCAATAGTTTCCTGTTTGATCTTTTTCCTGTGTTTTGCATTATGGTGTTTTAGACGCTTGTGAGTTTTTATCACTTATGTATCTATTTCATCTACCCACTTAACCTTCCCGCTATTCAATAGTTTACAACAAATTGCCCTATATCTTTTCAGTATTTCTAACTCTAATTTAGAAAATGTGGTGCACTACACATAACCTAAAAGTTACTGTATTTGCCATTTTTATTCTTTTAAATATACTCATGTAGTTTGCAATTATTATCTTTATTCATCACCAGATATCCTTTTGATCTTTCAAAATTGAAATTATCTTCATATTGAACAGCTCCCCATTTCTGGCTTATCCAGGCCATGGCAGTAACTGTTTCACTTTTACCACTGTAAATTTGACTGTGTTATGTGTGTCAAGTGAAATCACTGATATTGTCGTGTTTTGACTGAACTATTTCACTTAGCAGAATATCTTTAAAATTTACTTATATTCCTACTTGCATCAAAATTTCCTTTCTTAAAAATACAAGTGGTAAAGAAAAACTGTTGTTCAACAATGTTGAACACTCTTGTTAATTTGAGAAATGCAAATTAAAAGAACACTGATGTTTCTGGGTGATAGCCAGAAAGAATGGCTATCATCAAGAAATCAACTAATAATAGCTGGTGGGGCTTTGAGGCAAATGGAAACCTTTTTCATTTCTGGTAGGAGTACACAGTGTACAATCACTGTGGAAATCAGTGTGGAGAGTCCTTAAAAAAATAGGATTAGAAGTCTCATTCAACCCTGTTATTTCCCTTCTGGATACTTTTCCAGAAGAATGAAAACATCATACCAGAGAAATATATGTGCAAAATTTGTAATAGCCAAATCTTGGAAACAACCCAAATGTGTATTAACCAAGGAATAGACAAAGACATTGTGGTGATTTTATGCAATGGGAGTACTTTTCAGCTAGAAAGAAGGATAAACTTGAGGATTTAATAGGAAAATTGTTTTAACTTGAGACCATACTCTTAAGTGAATAAATGAGACTCACTTGTGTAAATATTATTTTATCTCCCTAATGTAAGAAACTGGAAGTGTACATTAAATACCAAGTCCACAATAGATATTATGAAATGGAAAGAAATTGCTCCAAAAGGAAAAACACCTGGGATAGGGGAAAAGAGGAAAGAAGGAAGGGAAAAGAAAAAATAAAAATAGACACAGGCACAGAAACACACTCATAATTGTTAAGATAGTCATAATAATTTCTTTTACTTCACTGGAGAGCAGTTTGTTCTTGTATTGTTTGATCAGATTTTCATGCTTATATCTATCTGGTAATCTGAGCAAGTGTTCTGAAGACAACAAATCACAGTATATTAACCATTGTTAATTTCCTATTACATTGTTATGAAATTCTGGATCACTGCTTTTATTGTTTTTTTTCCTCTTTAAAATGAAAATTCCTTCCTTCTTTAAGTCAAATAATGTTCCGTTGCCTGCACATACTGTGCATTCACTCATCCTTTGGGAACACTCGAGCTACCCTGTGCATTGTGAGTAATGCTGTGCATGTACTGATACCTTTTACTAAAAACTGTTTTGCTTGTGTTCTTACAGGCCATATGAAGGCATCTTCTGAGACCTCATGGTGTCATATTGAGTGATTGGATTTCACAATGAGAAGCCCAGAAAGTTAGTTGTTAATACAGTAATCAATCTTGTTATATTTCATAAAATAACTACTGCTTTTAAATAACATTGTAAGATAAACCACAATATATATCAGTATAAAATGAACTTATTTTGAAATGGTATCAACAGTAGTTCCACCCGAATGTCATAATTTATCAGATGTATTCCCTGCAGTCCTTAAAATGACAAGATGTTTTATCTTTTTTATTTTGTTGATTTTGTGTGTCATTTTAATTTATTTTCAAGTAGGAAACTGCAATTACAGTACCATATCTTATTTATCTTGTTGAGAATGCATGTAGGTGGACTCAGTTTGTGAATATTTTGTTTAGGGCTATGGATTTGTGTTCTTTTATTTTTTGCCATGATCTTGTCAGGTATTGATGTTAAGGAAGTTTTGCCTACTAAAATATGTTGAAAAATGTTCCTTCCATTTTGTCCCTGGAGTACGCAGAAATGTACATTTTTGTTGTTGCAATGATTTGTCAGAAGAGTTTTTAAATAAAGTTTTAACTTTTATAGACTATTTAAAAAAATAAGTGTACCTCTATTCACATAATCCGTTTGGATATGCATTTTTGTCAGCATAGTAATTTGTAGTTTTTGTACATTGTTCAAGTTATCCAAATTACGTTTATTTCTAATAACTGGTTCATGTTTTTATGATCTTGTCAATGTCTGTAAGACTTTTAGTGTGTAATTATTTAAACTTGTATTGAAAATTTTTTTCCATCCCTTGTTCCTTTTACCTCATGCTCACCAGACAGGCACTTATGCCACTGATCTAAATCCCCAGTCCTCATATTTTTTATTGTTTCTTTTTTTTTTCTTGGTAATGGGGATCAATTCTAGGCTGTTCATGTGAGGCAAGGACTCTATCTCTGCACTACACTACCAGCCTACTCTTATTCTTTGTCTCACTGTGACAAGAGTTTTATCAATTCCTAAAGTTTTCAAAGAACTACCTTTTGACCATGTTGGGCCTGTCATTATATTATTATTATTTTCTCTCTGTTCCTTAGACATTATTTTTATATTCCTTTCACCACTTTCTTTTTTCACCTTTTTGTCTACTTTCTTTTTGTTATTTTGAGACAACATCTTGCTACTCCAGGCTGGCCTTGAATTTGCTTTGCAGACCAGGCTGGCCTCATATTCAAAGCTGTGTACTTGCATCAGCCTCCCTATTGCTGGAATAAGAGATGCGAGCCACAATGCTGAGTAATATTTCTGACTTGTTAATGTAGGTTCTTCAGTAACTTACTTTTAGCTGTTTTTTTCCTGTTAGGCGTTTCAAGATTTAAAAGATTCATTAAACGTGGTTTCAGTGCATATCTAAAATTTTGGTCTGCTGCATTACCTTTGTTCATGTATTTTCTAGTTTCCACTTTTTAGCATGTTAGGTATCTAGAATTTGCATTTCAGAACTTCCATACATGAGGAATTTTCTGGCTATCTTTTAATCACAGATTTTTAAAAATCATGATTACAGTGTTTCTGAGAAAATATTTCATTGTGTTCAGGCTTTTGAAGTTTATTTATATTGCTTTATGGGAAAACATATTAGTTAAATGAATGTTTCACACTCAAAAGTACTATGTTTCTCTTTGAAAAATTCTGAGTTTTAAACATATCATGGAGTCATGCTGTTTAAATCTTATACTTAGTGATTTCTTTGTATTCACAGAGGTATATTAAAAACTGTCAAATCTGAGCACTGTAAGCTGTCTCATTTTTTGTGACATCTTTTATTTTCAGACTTGATATATCCTATTCCATACAGAAATTTTTAAAGATATTACATCTTCCTTACACTACATACTCTCATTTATCTATAATGATGTTTCCTTTGTTTTAAATTGACTGCTGGGAATCAAAGTAGCCATCCCAGGTTCCTTGGGGTAAAGGTATACACAGTGTACTTTTTCCCATGTAATAGGTTACTTATGAATATGTCACATGTAATAGGTTACTTATGAGATATATGAATCCAGGGCAATTCAGGGCTTCAAGTCAAGTTAATAGGAAATCAAAAATGGTTATCATAATATATCCTGCTATCTTTGGAATAGCTGTACATGCCATCAAATTTAATACAAGTGGACAAACTGAAATGGAATAAAACCAAACTAAACAGAACAATGAAAGCAATATGTGTTTCATATTATAATAATAGATGAACAATGGCTACTGCCTTCCCTTTTCATACAGTTCCTCTTCTTGCACTTTCATGGGATGCATTGTAGACTTTGGGTATCACTAACTCTTTTAGTTTTTTTAATTTTGAAGAGGATAAAACAAAAGAGAGCAGTACAAAGCAAAACAGAATAGGACAATGAAAGCAATACAGCACTTCACAACAAGACAACTGGACATCAACGGTAGCTACCATAATGTCTATTTTCTTTGAAATAGTTGAGCATATCTTTATACACGATAATATCAAACATAACAAAATAGTATAAAACCATTCAAAAGAATGAAAGCATTACAGAATTTGAAAATGAAATAACAGGAATTGAATAATGGCTACTATAATATCTCATTTTCCTCAAAAAATTTGTGTACAGTGTCACACATAATAAAATCAAATGAAACACAAGAGGATAGAACCAATCAAAACAGAAGAACAAAAGCATGGTACGACTTGAAAACAAGATGATAGTAAATCAGCAATGGCTACCATAATGTCTTGTATTCTTTAAAATAGCTGTTCATACCATCACATAATAAAATCAAACAAAACAGAATAAAATCAATCAAACCAATGAATTAAAGCATTATGTGACTTCAAAGCAATATAAGAAACCATAATGACCCTAATATACCCCATTACATTAAAAATATCTGCCCCTATCATCTGACAGCATAAAATCTAACGAAACAAGACAGAACAATGCCAAACCTAACAAAACTGTGTAAAGAATGCAAGAGTTCAAGATAATACAAGAATATGACTCTAAACTGTTTTAGCCAGGTACATGATCTCTAATTTTGCCCGTTTACTTACAAGATCCTTCAGATTATTCTACTTTAACTTTTTATCGGTACCAAGGATTGAACTCACGACCGCCTGCTTGCAAGGCAGGTGCTTATGCCGCTGAGCTAAATCCCCAGCCCCTCTACTTTATAGTTGTGTAGTTTTCCACTGCATGAAAATACAGTATCATTTTTATCCACTTTGCAGTTGATGGGCAAGTTACCCTTGCTTTTTTCTTTGGTCTCCTGTCACATGAAACAATTGTTTTCTCTCCCTTGATTTTCAGTCTATGAATTTCCTTTCCAGTTAAATGTGTTTCTCATGTACAGTACATCGATGGATCTTGTTTCTTGATCCACTTTCCCTGGGTTTCTTTATATTGCTGACCTTAGGCTGTAAACATTAATGGTTACAGTAAGCATACATTGATTTGTATCTGCCCTGCTATCTTCCTTTTGTAGGCCCTCAATTTCCACCCTTCATTAAATTGTCTGTCATATTTGGCAGTTCTTCTTTGATACTGTTTCTGGAGACATGGTCATCTTCATCTCTCTCTCTAGAATATTGTTTAGTAATCTGTATAGGGTTGATTTGGTAGTGATGAATTCCTTCCGTTCCTTATCATGGAAGTATCTTATTTTTCCACCAATTTTGAAAGATAGTTTTTCAGGGTAGTTCAATCTGGGTTGGAAGCTGTTTTCTTTCAGGGTTTGAAACACTGCACTCCAAACTCTTCTTGGCTTGATGGTTTGTGTTGATAGTTCTGCTTCTGTGATTCTGGTTGGTTTTCCTTTTTAGGTGATCTGTCTCTTTATTCTAGCATCTTTTAATATTCTGTTCTGCTGAATTTCTGGGATCTTGATTATTATATGCCTGGGTGTAGATTTACTTTGGTTATGGTTAGTTGGATTCTTATATGCCACACTTATCTGCTTGCCATATCCATTTTCCATGTTTGCATAGTTTTCTTCTATTACTCCTGTGAATATCCTTCTAACTTCTTTTGTGTTAACCCCTGATATTTCATTGATACCTGCCAATCTTAAATTATGCTTCTTTGCATCATCTTGCAGCCATTTGTTTGTTATTTCCTGATTCTTTGTTATTTTTAAGAGATCCTTCCTTTCACAATCACTAGCTGCAATCCCAACTTCAGGATTTGAAAGTATATCTTCAGTCTCTTTCAAGTGATTTTGACAGTTTTGATTGAATTGTTAATTGAAGTCACTACAGTTTCCTAAAGAAATTATTTTAACTAACTGATAATCAGTTGCAAAAAAGGAAGTAAGTATAACACCATCACAATCTAATCACCTCCCAGTAGCCCCATCTATAAGTGCATGGGACTTTGAGAGGCATCATAATAGCTAGTGCTGATGTACTATCATCATGTTTTGAAGCCCCACCAAACTATGGCTCTTCTGTCTCCATTGGTTTTATCATGATGTATCTTGCTGGATTTTATTATGTGTGATAGTATAAACAAAAATTGTTATAGGCAAAGAGATAATATAGAAACCATTCTTTATTTTCTGTTAGTTGGTTCTAAAATCCCTACAATGCTTTCATCCACTTGAATGGTTTTACACTGACTTGATATGTTTGAAGCTATAGTATATGAAGTTATATTCAAATATTTCAAGGAAAAAGACACTATGGTAACTACTATTAAACCGGGTTATTTGCTGGTGAAGCACTAGGTTGCTGAAACTGTCATGCTTTAACCTGTACTGTTATGATGTTATGTCTTCTTTTATCTCAATCTCTTCCTTATTCATTAAAAAATTATTTAGTTATTTTTATGATTTTTTAATTAAGGGGAAAATAAAAAAAATTAGCAGGATATATTATAGTAACTTATTTGATTTCCTATTAACTTGATTTGAAGTTCTGTAATACTCCCACTATCTTGTTTTGACTGATTAGACTCTGTTCTGTTCTGTATGGTAGTATCAATTTTGAAGGTACAGACAACTACTTTGAAGGCAGTAAGATTCACTTTGATGCCCATTCTGGTTTGACTATTATCTCCTTTGGAAGTTCTGTAGTGTTTATAAGGTTTACATTTTACTGGTCTTGTTCTCTACTGTTTTGTTCAACTTTATAATACCTAATGAGATAGACAATTCTTTTTAAGGGAGCAAGAGGCATTATGGTAACCACTGTCGATAACCTTGTACTCTGTTTTTACATCATGTGCTGTCTATTCTTGGTTTTGACTGACAGCTTTGTTTTGCCCTATTTGACTTTATTCTCCCCCCCCCCCCAAAAAAAAAGAAGAACTAAGGAGTAATAAAATCTAAAATGTGTAAATTTTGTTGTAAAAAGAGAGGGAGAAAGTGCTCTAAAGTATACAACTGCAAGTGCGTTTAGGGGTGTTAAATAGATGCCCATATTAATGTTTTTGGCTGGATCGTTGAACACAACTGTTTGCAGTCTCACTGTTTGAATGTCCGCTTTGTACGCTTTGATACTGTGACTTGAGCGACTGTCTCTAGGATGATAATTGTAATCTATTAACTGGTGATTTCTGTTTTTTGTTTGTTTGGTTTTTTTTGTAGTTCTGAATTAATTGTACCCTTACACTGCTTTGTTTTGTTTTTTTCTCTTTTTCCTTTTAAATAAAATTTTAAAAAAAGATAAATTTCAGGACACATAGAAACATGAAGACATAAAAATCTTTAACAGACAACCACAAATAATGATTCTGAATCTTTTCTGCCAAAATAGAAAGGCCCAGAACATGATGGCTTCATAGCTACAATATACCAGAGATGAAGAAGAACTAATACCAGTCCTACTCAAACTATTTCATAAAATTGAAAGGAAAGGACCCTTCCCAAATGCATTCTATGAAACCAGCATTATCTCATTACAAAAACTGTAGACTATTATCCTTGAAGAACATAGATGCAAAAATACTCCATGGAATGCAAATTGAATTTCAACAGCACATCAGAAAGATGAGTCATCGTAATCAAGCTGGTTTCCTCACAAGGATGTAAGAATGATTCTACATGTGTAAATCAGTAAATGTAAAACAGTAAATAAATAGAATTAAGGACGAAAATCATATGATGCTCTCAGGACATGCAGAGAACATATTTGATAAAATTCAACACAACTTCACATGGAAAACCCTAAGCAAATTAGGCATAGAGGATCAGACCTAAACATTTTATAATAAAGGTTATTTTGACCAACTTCCAGCCATCATCACAACAAATGGGGTGGAGCTGATAGCATTTCCTCTAAAATCAGGAAAAGACAAAGAGGTCCATTTTCACCACTGGTCTTCTATATAATACCAGAGATTGTAGATGGAGCAATCAGTCAAGAAAAAGAAAACCAAAAAAAGGCATACAAATAGGAATGAAAAAAAATAAAAAGCAAATTACTCTCTTTTAAGATGATATGATTTTATACATTGAAAAATACAAGACGTTTCAAAAATCTACTAGAAATGATAAACCAGTTCAGCAAGTTGCAGGATACAAAATCTAGATACGTATGGAATTAAATGTCATTTGCACGAAAATAAATGGATATGGAGATCATCATGCTGAATGAAATAAGCCAGACTCAGAAAGACAAAGATTCTGTTCTCCTTCATAAGTGGAATCTTAAAAAAAAAAAAAAAAAAAAAAAAAAAAAAAAAAAAAAAAAAAAGTGTAAAGATAGGTAATAAGAGCGATGAATCTGATCAAAATATATTATATTAGCTGAAGGTA